TATTATTAATCTGCAATCTTATACTTTTGAATAACTAGTAATATTTTTGATTTTACCACCTGGTGACGTATTTGTTATCTAAGGAAAAGAAACAAATTGATTGGATAAAAAAAAAATTATATGGGATGATTGGTTCCTAATTTTTTTCCCAATTTTACCTGGAATGGATAAGAGGCTTCTAGATTGATATATAGAAAGTAAATATTAAAAGTTTCTTTAGAGGAGCGTGCATTTACAATAAGAAGATCTCGATTTTCCCCTTTAACGATTATTATTCGATTATTATTCGATTATAATTAGATTATTACTCGATTATTATTCGATATTATATAATTCGATTATAATTCGATATTATTATATATAATTCAATTATTATTAGTATAATTTTTTTTTTTTAAAAAAAAAAAATGCACAAGTACGTATATAAAAAAAAAATGGGGAAAAGGGAGGGAAAAAAAAAAAAATACAAGAAAGTTATGTAACCGTTAAGGGGGTTGTTAAATGAAAGTCAAATTATTTGTTGTTGCGTCTTTGTTTAGATAAAACAATAAGAAGCACAAAAAAAGGACAATAGTAACATAATGGTTATACGTATTTATTATTTATTAAACTTGTAAATAAGTGCCAAGAACAACTTTTTTTTTAATCTCGTGGCATGACCTCGTGTTTGTCAAATATAGTAGAGAAAAAAAAAAAAAAAAAAAAAGTGATAAGTGAAAAGTGGCTGTGATAGGACGCGGGGTAATAAATTTCATAGGAGAGGTAGGACAAACCAGATTTATAATTAGTTTAGTGAGTAGGGGTTAAAAAGAAATTCTCGATATGGAACCCATCAGCTATCTTTTTTGTGTTAAATGCCGTGTGCGTGTGTATGGGTATAAAATTTTAAAAGACAACGAAAAGCTTGTGATGCTTGCAGAAGAAGTAAACAATTACAATATAATTGATATTAATTTTTGCCAATATAGCGTAAGAGCGCCATAAGATGAATAATAGATAATGTAATATTATTTTTCTTACTCATTGACGCATAACTCTAATAAAGGATTAAAAAGGAGAGTGTTGTAATAACAAATGGCGTTGTAAACTCGTATCAGAATATTATGATTAAGGTAAAACTTAATATTTCAAAAATGATGATTTCAAAAGTAAACTTTGATCATGTTCCCTCGGACAAGACAAGACAATCTAAAAATGTAATGAGCAACACATGTTAATAAGATGTATGATAACGATGATAACGCCATTTTGTAATTTTAAAAAAAGATCATCCTTTTTGTTATGTAACGCTATTGGATAACTTTAGCTTCGAAACGAGTGTAACCGGAAGAAATTCTACAGGTATTAGGGTGATCATTAAATATTCACAAAAAAAAAAAATTATCTCTAATCCCAAAACACGAAGGCGTGCGTGCGTGACTGCGTGTGTATGCGTAAAAATGTAAATAAGTATCGTGATTTGCCCAATCATACAATTTTAACTTTTAAACGTTAAATGAACTACATAACTAGGAGATGTGAAAATCTTTTTGTCGGCGCATTCCGTACATATACATTTTCCTAATTATGTTTTTTTTCTATAGCGATAGTAGCATTCCAATAGTTCATTTATGGATCTAGAAAGATAAACCAAGATCTAGTTATAAAACCGGAATTTGATATGATTGGGTGGAACCCATGAAAGATGCGCAGTAGATACCAGGAAATCTCGTGGTTTTTGGTAAAAGATTTCCCGTAAAATAAAATATGCAAGGGCTGTACGTCATGTTTATTTTTTTCCGGTTTTTTTTTTATAAACAAGAACTTATAACAGAACCAAATTAAGTAATTGATTTGTCAAATCATTAGATTTTAGTAAAAGTCACGCCTCATTTATCATGTGATTTTTGTGATTGTCGGAGTAAAAAAAAAAAGCGAAGTGAGTAAAATGTAGTGATTTAAGTATGATGGTTCGATTTATATTTATGCTTGCTTGACATCATACTACTACAGTTAATTAAGGTAATTAAAGCAATTACAGCCATTACAACATTAACGGCATTAGATCATTATATGAAACAATCAGTTTTTTTTTTTATTAGAATTCCAGGAGTAGCAATTATTATGATTCTAACGGAATTATGTTGTGGCTTGATACACTCTTAATACTATGAAGTTTGTATACTATGGTATACTATGGTGAAGTTTTGTAAATTTAGATTAAAATTAGTCTAAAGTTAGTTTAAAGTTAATCTAAAATAGTCTAAAACCTTTTATTATAAGTATTTCAAACATACAATATTTTTAAGCACAATGTAGATATTGTAAAACTTTTGTCTCATCATCATCACCTTATTAAATATGGTCGCTTGTTTGCTTCCGTTATTATTAAATTCTCAATGAAGATAAAGATAATGATGATACTAATTGGTCAAGAATTGGATTTCGCCAATATACTTATTCATACACAGGTACATCATTCTCGTGTACAACGTCATACTTATTATCAATATTTGAGCTCTTTTGTAGATTAATAAAAAAAAAAAAAAATATTATAGGTTTTCCAATTCCGGTAATGTATCATCATAAAAAAGAGATCTTCATCTATTTTAAAATATACTTCTATTTTAATTATAATATATATGTATAATAAAAAAGCAAGCCCGAGAAAGCGGAAATACGGTACTTTGCCACAAAAGCATCTCCATTTAGGAACGGTTTAGCTCATTCCACGACTTTTAAATCTCGGAAACAACATAGTGTAACAAAGGGCGCAATCTTGATTTTAGTATCGATATCTAGTATTAAAAAAAAAAAAATTAATTTGTATTATTTTCATGAGACTTTGTATATAAAAAAACATGTTTAAAATTTCGTACTAACCTGATAAAGTATAAAGGAGAACTTTTATTTCAAAATTCCGTATTCACTCGGTGATGACTCGGAAAAGTTATGTATAAATTGCCTTTAAAATCTCATGAATGCGAGAATGAAATGTGCCTTGATGTAATTATAATAATATATATATATATTGTCCTACTTACTTTTATCATACAATTCAAAAAATTTTGATATTATTAGAATTGCATTGTGGAAATTAATTCAACAACAGCATGAAACCGAGTGGCTTAGGATAGAAATTGGCGGGCTAATTATGTCAGAATTGATTGCTAATTGACTGCTCATATTTTTTATTGACAATTAACTATTGCCAATTAAACTTCAATTATACTGTTCAAATGACTTTTTAATAAAAATAACTCCGGATAGTGATATCATTTCTATATCGATAAATTTAGTGAGAAAGGAATTCGTCAATCGTGTTTAAAATAAAAAAAAAAAAGAGTTAAATGTAAATGTAAAAAAAAAAAAGAAAAACCGTTATAATGTTTCGGATGTGTGTGTATCAATTTAATGTTTTTTTTTTTTTTCAATGAAAAAATATCCTAAACTGGCTTTCTTTCTAATTCATTTCAAGACCGGGCGTACTTACTACTCATTGTCGTTACATACCCTATGACTGTATAATGGCTTTCAAAAAATAACATGAATGATACTGGATGTTATAACGCAAAATATTATTGGTTCATTTGATTATCATTCTTGGCATATAATTACAGTTAATATATGAGCACATGACACTTAAATGACTGTGATCCTGTAATAACTGCGCCATTTTTTTTATGATCATCAGATTTGGTTAACCACTAAAATTTTGGTTAAACATTTAGGACGCGCGTTATTATATGTACGAGAAACAAATGTTAATCCTTTATAATTTTCTTTGTTTAGAAAATGTAAAAAAAAAAAAAACCTGATCTTATTCTCGAATTCTTTTAAGATATCCATAAAAGGTTCGTACGCGTACTCTATAGTTCTTAATTTACAACATTTTGTTTATATGATGATGTAAATCTAATGCTAACTAATATGTAAAATATGTATTTGGAATATCTCTGCAAACATCTCGTTTTTTTTTTTTTCGATCTTCGTACATGCGATTCGGCAAGCTAATTTTACTTTTCACCAATCAATCCTCTCATACTTTATAAAAAAAATAATAAAAAATCATGGATGTAAAAAGAGTGACTTATCCCCCCCAATTTTATTTTATTTTTTTTTTTACAATAAACACGCGCCTCTTCTCCATTTTACCCCTTTTTGAATGTACCAAAAACTTGTAATTTATACAATTAGGAATTCTACCCCCTTAGAAACCTTAAAGTTTACACATTTGAAACCATTCATATTATTATAATAATAAATAAAAGATATTATTAATAAGATATTTAATTATTATTCTTCATTTCAATAATAAAAGATAATACCAAAAAAAAATAATTTTTCTTTTAAACAAGTTAATAAGAGAATTTTTTGAATCTCTTTTTTTTTTTTTTTTGTTACTTTATTTATTATTATGTTATGTAAAATTTATTTTTTTACGATTCCATATAAAAAAAAAAAATATGGAATAACTTGCTTGTTTTTTTTTTTTTAATATTTATGTTATCTTAGGATGTTTAATTGTTTCTCGTGTTTGTTTGAATGAAATAATAATTTCAATTAAAAAAGCATAGAAAAAAAAAATTTATATTTATCGAGAAATACTACTAATAATAAAAGCTGTACTAAATACTAATCTAAGTTTTGTGTATATATGTGTTATGTTTGCCATGTAAAGAAAAGAATAAGAAAAAAAAAAAAAAAGGAAAGTGATGAAAAAATAATGCTAAAACTACAATACAAATGCAAATAGTAAAAAGAAAAAAAAAAATATAAGAAAATGTCTAAAAAAAAAAAAAAACTGTACATACAAGAAAACTGTGTAAAACGAAAAAAAGTTGCGCCATCTAATAAACGCCTTTACAATTTGAAAATTGAGCTATAAACACGGAAAAAAATGATTATGATTTTTTGCAAGAGTAATAATAATTATTGTTCGGATTTCTGTTAAATTCAAATCATATTTTATCTTTATATATATATATATATATATTCAATTCAATTAAATTCAATTAAGATCATACCACTGTTGTGGTGAATGATATATTATTAACCGGGAAACCCGAAGAAGTAGACCGAGCATTAATAAGATTGGATTGAACACGCCTTGCATAATAAATTCCAACTGGGTCTACAACAGCATATTGAGGCTGCGTATTTCTAACAGTAACATTGGTATAAGTTTGTCTTACTTCGAAAGATTGTTGTGATGATTGACTAGAGTATACCATATTAGATGATGTTGAAGAAGTTGTTGGTATATTGTAATAGGCTGAAACTCGTCGGGAACTTGAACCACTTGGTGGTGGCGTTGGATAAGCTATAGTCTGAGCATAAACTTGTTGTTGAGGTTGTTGAACAACTAATTGTTGTTGTTGTTGTTGAGTAGCCTGAACCGAATATACTGGATAAACATTTGTTCTTTTTGGGGGTGATACCATCATTCCATCCACAAAAGCTTGCTCGGCCGACCTTTTAAAACCAGTGGCCATTGATTGAACAGGAACAAGAATTTGTTGATGTTGAACAGGAATATACTGTTGTTGTTGTTGTGGTTGTTGTGATTGTTGAGAATATTGTACTTGCTGTTGTTGTTGTTGTATTTGTTGAGAAGATTGTTGAAAAATGGAAACAGTACAATCCGGAGAAGAATTATCATTATTATTATGAAAATTATCACCAATTTGAATAAAAGTAGTCATGCTTTGAACCCATTCAAAATATTGTTTCTCTGAAACGTATAATTTATAATTCAAAGAACCCAAAAATTCCATTTCCATAGTATTTATTTCGGATACAGGTATATTAGTAACCTCAGACCAAGTTTTATTTGTATAAGTATTGTCGTCCAAAAATTTATTGGCCAACATAAGAGCTACGGTAAAAGTTCTATATTCAGAGCCATTTTGACCTTTTATCGCAGGATTATTTATCTTCATCCTATGAATGTATAGTAATGATAAGAGAATGACCGATCGAGAGACTTGAGTGGCAGAAATAACATCACGACAAAACTTCTTGAACGCGTCTCTCGGTTTAAAATCAGGAAACCTCCTGTGACCATTCCCACCTGGGGGTGGTGTTATTGAAGATGAATCCATGATATAATCACCAAACCACAAGAAACAAGTCATATGAGCTGCGAAATCCGACGCGCGTTCTGGAAGAACTTGCTCTAGCGACGAAGTATCTTGTATTATTGTCGCAGTTGAAGCACTAGTAGTAGTAGTAGTAACTGAATTGTTTTGTTGATAGAATTGCATTGAAGTTTTTTGAGAAGAGAATTTATCACTTTGTTGCAAATTATTCGGTAGAGGCGGTAACGGTTTTCGCTGTAAATTTATGGTTTGTAGTGAAGAAAAATTCGAAGAAGTAGCGGGTAGAGACGCAAGCGTGGTAGTTAAATACATTTTTTTTTTTATATAATATATTATATATATATTTATATATATATAATTATATTTAATTTACGAAAAGTGGTTTTTTTTTATTTTGGCGTGTGAAAGTTTACCGCTAATTTTTTACAAGTTCGCAAAGTAAAAAATTGCTCAAAAAGTTTTTTTATTTTATATATTTTAAAGAAGAAATTACTAAAATGCCGAAAAGTTATATAAGCCGCGTGGTCTCTTCTAAATGAAGTAAAGAAAAAAATTTTTTTTTTGTGAAGGAAAGTCAACAAAATTTGGCGGTTTTATAAATTTTTTTCACCAAGTCAATCTCTGACTCTTTTTTTTTTTTTTATATTGTGTGATCTTAGTTTAAAAAAAAAAGGTGGGGGAGATATGTAGTTATAAGTATTTGAAGTAAGTATCTGTCGGATATTTATTTGTGACTCTTTGAAGCAATTTATATTGATATAATTGAAGAATGTTGTTGATCATAGTTAAAAGACATATAAAAAGAAATTGATATATTATAGTAAAGAATATATTAATAATAGTGTCTCGTGTATCTTTTTTTAACTATTACACATATAAAAATGGAATGCCGTACATATTATTTATAATACTAATGCTGATAGGAAGAATGATATAAATGTAAATGATGGATGTCTTAATAATTATACTTTTTTTATACTAACTTAAACCGGTTTTAATATAAAAAGAAAGTTTATTTTACTTTATATATCAATACAGAATACAGATACAGTATTTATAAAGATATCGTAGATGATGACTCAATAGATTTTTTTTTTTTTTGTAGAATGATGTAGATTATAATTTCATATTGACGTTGATTGTTATTTATATTAATACGAGTTAAAAAGTAAACAAAAAGAATAATAATAAATACTTTCTTTTTAATGTTTCGCCGTATTCTAAAATCCGTTTATTGTCGGACCATCGGGCATCGGGTATCGTTGTATAAAATAATAATAATAATAATAATGATAATAATATGACAGTAGAAAAAAAAAAAAAATGAAAAAGAAAACCAAAATAAAAAAACCAGTTTTATGAATTTAGATAACAGACTAATATTTTTTGTCGATGAAAAAATTTTTTCTTGTCTTTCTTGATTATTATTTGTTGATGAAGTAGGAGCATAAACATGAAAAGAATAAACATGAAAGAACATGAGAAAAACAGGGCGCACCTATTTTTCATGGAACCTTTCATCGTCGTAAATATAGTAAATATTATACAGTAAAATATCGTAAGGCTGAATATTTAGTCAGAAAGCACGGGTAAAACAAGATAATTGATGATGATGAAATTAACGGGACACTCAGCAATTCAAGCAGCAACATTCAGTAAAAGTAAATAAAATATTACGTGATGACGATTATTATGAATAAAAAGAAATCGACCAATCGTTCCTTATCGTTCTTTATCGTTCTTTAAGGGTGACGAGTTTCCACGCGCAGCCGCATCTAAATTCGAAGATGAACATACACAACATAACAGATATATACAACTACTACTTGTATACCACCACATATTTATCACATACTCATCACATACTCCTTTTGTTCTATAATTTCTTGAATTTATCAATTGTTTGACACTCTTACAGTCTTAACGGAATTTACATATGACACAGTGTACCATTCATGATTTCCTTATTAGTTTAATTTTTATTTAATGTTTTTGTAAAGTTGATACGAGTTGGCCAAGAATTAACAATTCCCCACATCTTTTACATTTTAACAATTCAAAAATCCATTATATCCAATCAGAAAACAATCTTTTTATTATCTCATAAATCTTTTTCTTGTACGAAAAAAAAAAACTCACACACGGGATGATAACCTATCATCTGTCTTGTGATTAGCCATTCTAGAATAACTAACAATATTTAAAAGAATAATCCAACTATAATTAACTCTAATTAACTATATAATTAACTATATAATTAACTATATAATAATTAACTATATAATAATTAACTATATAATAATTAACTATATAATAATTAACTATATAATTAACTATATAATTTAACTATATAATTACTATATAATTAATTAACTAATTAACTATAAGTTTTGATAATCCGATTGAATTTTTTTTTCTTGCCAAGTAAGGAATGTTGCATTTACCTTATTCCTTGACTTATGTGAAAATCAAAAATAGTGATTGAATCAGATAAAAAAGTCTGCCTTTGTCTAACTGATATCTTTCTCCAGGTACATAATACGATTAAACAAACTGCATAATATAAACAGATGAGGTATCTTGAACTAAATGAAATTATCATGTCATCCTTACCCTTTATACTAATTCGTTGATGTTGTTTGTGTCACCCATACTAACATCCTCATCGTTACCATTAAATTACTATTCTACTTTATATTATTATGTCCCACATATATTTGAAATTTTCTTTATTTGCTACTTTTATTTGCTACTATTTGCTACTTTATTTGACCTCCTTTTTTAATCTTTTTTTCATCCTTTTTGTGACTTAAAAAATCAGCAGGATATTATGTTTGATGCGTGTATATATTTGGTTCTGCGCCACCGAAATAGTAAATAATATCGTGTCAAAAAAATAATATGATTGATTGTTTTTAGTTTTTTAGTTTTTTTTTTTTTTTTCTTCAAAATATTCTTTTTTGTTGATCTGGCGTAAAACACGGTTCGAGATCTCTTTTTTTGGCTCAAGGTTCCGTCATCATCTCATCTCAAGCATCTTTTTTTTTTTTTTTTTTTTTAAATCGGTATGATTTATCAATAAATGAAAAATAACTTGGTTGACCCATTCCCTATCGGTATCTTTACATTAATTTTTTTACGTGAATTACTTGTCAATTATAATTAAAAAAAAATTTTTTTTTTTTTTTTTCTCGTAATAATTTCACAATATTCTTTTGTTGTTGGGGCGTCACGTCAATGGGGATTCCGCATATCTGATATAATATGGCGCAGTACACGAATTTAAATTTTGAAACTCATTAATCAATAACTGTTGATACTAAATATCATATATAGTCTAACTCTAGTAACATGATTATGGTATGATGCACGTTCACCACTCTCGGCTAGATGATTACCGGGCATAAATCTCTTATAGAATCATTCCGGACTGTAAATTTTACAAATATTGAAAATTATCACAAGGTTTATTATTATTATTATTATTATTATTATTATTATATTAACGTATCATTTTTTTTACGTATCATGATTATTTTATTATTATTATTATTATTATTATTGTTGTTGTTTTTTTTTTTTTTTTTTGTGTTCGCCCTTCTTATGATAAATTCACACCTCCGTATGGTTCCTTACTTACCTCCGTTAGGTGCCTTAGCCTCATTTTTTGTTTGTGAACGGTTTTTGTGTGAGTATGATGTGCCAATCGTTCCATAAATTCTATAAGTCTATAAGGTACAAAACCCATACACTGTACGTATGTATCATACATACCGTACCATACTTGACGTACGTAAGTAGTATCTACTTATTACTTATTTATAATATTTATAAGGCTTGAACAAAAAAAAAAAGTCGATCCATCTATCTGTCTATGTTAATTTGGCTTAAACATTATCGATTAGGTGATAAAGTGTGTGTTTATTGTTTATTAATAATAATAATAATAATAATAATAATTTATGTGTTATTTCCCATCTTTTTTTCCTCATTCTTTAAAGATTTTTCTTCTGGCTGTGCATAAGTAGATGTAACGTGTCTTAAAAGATTAGGTGGAGCAATTATTCCTGTTTCGGCATTCCCCGTTCTTTTTTCCGCTTTATTACTTTTTTTATACACTTTTTTTGGGTATCTTTTAACTTTCTCATATCTATCCTACCGTAATAGTCCAAATTATTTGATTATATAACACTACATAAATATATATATATATATTTCCAATTTTTTAAAAAAAAGCTTGAATTATTTACTTTTTAATCCAATAATATTTCCATCCGTTGTTTCAAAGCCTATCCAAAATTGGATTTTCGTTCTACGAAAGTTGATCTAAAACTTGACAATTTAAAGTTGAAATTATCTTATTCTGGATGTATCACAGGAGTTATACACAAGTAAACATTAAGGTTATTAAATTTCACACCTGATTGGCAATTTGCTTACTTAAATTTGTTAAAGGAGTTTCTTGATTGGATTATAATAAATCAAAAGTGTATTGATTGTATCAGGTTGCTTTTTTGCCGATTTTCCATTTTACAATCATTCATCCTTAGACCTTTTTTTTTTTTTTTTTTTTTTTCGCTATTATTATCCGCATAATACATATATTTACGTGTTTTCTGCGAGTAAAAATTTACCGTGTTCCTTTGAAAATAATTTTTTTTTTTTCATCATTTTACACAATTGTAATTGTAACTATAATAGAAAAATATGATGATAGTAACTATAATTGTAATTGTTACCTTTTTTTTTTTAATAGGAATTCGGGTTACAAATGTGTTTTATACTTTTAAAGATACGTATGACCTTTTTTTGTACTCACATAAAAAATTTATAGTGTTTAAGCAAATAATATATGAGTTTGAATGGATGCCTATAAATGATTTACATATATTTAAAATAAATGTTGATGACAAAATTGAATGCCGCATGTAGATTTTTTTTTCATTTATCATTTTTTTGACCATTCATATGAATTATCTTTTAGGAGTTTTCCCTAAGCTAACTTGTCTCAAATAACTCTATCAAAAAAAAATTTTGTATGATAAACAATTTTCTTTGGAGGTTAGCTGTTAAAGTATAATAATTAATGTTTATTCAATAAAGTAATCATCTCGAAATAATGAAGATACTATGAAATACACTATGTACTGTATGTACACGCCCAAACACGCCACCTTTTTTTTATTTTATTTTATTTTATTATTTACTTGATTTTTAATCATCATTACACAAATAGGTTTATCCTAAAAATAATCCAATGATTTACCGAATAAATGATATAATACGTCAGTCAATACTTTTTTTTTATGATTTAGCAATTCAGGTGTGATTTGTTTAAATGAATTTAAATGAATTTAAATATTTGAAATTATTATTTTATTATCGTTATAAATTCCTGTATATTAACGTAATAAAATGCAGTTATTAATTTGAATTCTAATTCCGCTCTCTCTTTAATTTTCATAATTAAATAATGAAATTTTTTTTTTTTTTATTATTATATGATACCGATTTTTCTTTTTTAATTGAGGCTTTTTTTTTAACATTTTGTACATTTACTATTTTTATCCCTATCTGTTATAAAATAGCATATATTTATGATAATCCTTTTACGTACGTAGCATTTATTGAAAATCTAATCTTGTGATTTAGTCATTTCAAATGTGTAAACAAAAAAATTTATAATAGGTAATCTCTAATCTCATGCGATCATCATCAATGTTTTTAATCGTTACAAGTAAAAATATATAATATATATATATATATATTTATTTATAAAAATTTACATTTGGGATTGGCCTTTTTTTTTTTTTGACAATTAATTTTAAATTAGTCTAGTGTTCAAAATAAATCATTTAAAATTATTTGTTAGAATTAGTTTGATAATAATATTTGTAACATTTTTTTTTTTTGTAATAATAATAACTTTAATAAGATATAGTTTTTGTAATTAATAAAAAAAAAAAAAAACAAATTAGAATAATCTAATCTTCGATTGAACTAAATAATTGTTTTTTTTTTTTTTTAAAACCTTTTAAATCAATCTTTTTTATTCTTAATTGGTTCATTTTTTTTATTTCATTCGGGTTAACGAACCTAAACCTGTCTAACCTTTAACCTTTTTTTCACTCACACGAGATTTCCTTCTCTCTCTATTCTACGTACCATTCGTACCATTCGTAAAATTTTTTTTTTTTTTTAATTTAGTTTCCGATAATCTTTTTTCCGGAGAATCCTTGGCACGGGGTGAGAAGTTAGAATCTATAAAATTTATAGAATTATATAATAATATTTTATCGTGAAATATGATAAACTTATCGTGTGAATTAGATAATAAAAACATCGTAAATTAATAATACAAACATTATGAACACATTTCTCCTAGAAATTGATTTACATTGATTTAATTGATAAGCTTTTTTTTTTTCCGATGTAATATGATTCAAAGATCAAAAGGGAGTAAAAAATATATATATATATATATATATCGATATAACCCTATCTACTATTAGTATATTTTACCAAACTAGAATATCAATCGAAGGAACATGAAACAAAAGTAGGAGTAAAAGTATGAACAAATCCTATTTAAGATAAGAAAAAAAAAAATAAAACTATCAAGGATTAAGTTAAAATAACAAAAAAAAGCGATCAAAAAAAAAATATGAATTAATAAGACAAGATTAACAAAAATGGTAATCCATTTATATAAAAATAGTAATTCAAGTTCTGGACAATTTGCATGAGACCATCAATAGTAATTACTATATTAGAATATTTATAATTATACAAAAAGTAGTTAAGTGAATTATTTCGATTAACTTGAGATAAACTTGAATGAAATAAAAGAACTGAAACACAAAAATAAATTTCGTTTTATAAAAAAATAGATAAATTAACAAATAAAATTACATTTTATTATATTGAAACTAATCTTGTTTCCTTTTACAAACCAAAGATCGTAAAATTGATAAACCATAAAGAATAAAGAAGAGGTATAAAAAGGTATAAAAAGACTCTGACTGCATTGGATGTACACTGCATTTGCTAATAATATAAGCTCAATAAGATAAGGCTCATGATTTGTTCGGCGTCCGATACAAACAATGTCGAACACAGAATAAGACACAGAAAATTTAGAATTAAACACAGGATTTGGATAAGTATCCGATAATACCGATAATAACCGATACCGATACTATAAATCATTTACTTATTATTACAAATCGCGTTTTAAAAAACACGCGTCGCTGTTGCGTAATCATGTGTCAACATAAATAATATCAACGTAAATACTTATCAATATATAGAAATAGATATAAATGAATGCTCTTTTTTTTTTTTTTTTTACATAATTGTAATGTTGAGATGAAACATAATAAAGTAAGGAACCATCCCTGTTGTAATCGTAGAAAAATGTAACAATTAAATCTATATTAAATTTATATTGCGTTATCATTATCTAGTTTTTTTTTTTTTTTCAAGTAATGAAAAAAAAAAACAAATCTTATTGTTATCACGAGTATAGGTATGATATTTCGTGTAACTGTACTTAAATAGAACGATATGAAGGTGTGGCAACATGAAAAAAAAAAACCTTATCAATCAAATAAAGAGTTTTATTCGGAATTTCAAATAGTTATTAAAGTGCA